AAACAGTTTAAATGTGGCCATTCTCAAACCTAAACCCAACTGTTCGTGTGGTGAAGTGTCATTAATTATGGATGCTGTCAAAATAAGTAAACAGGCAAATGAGGAAATAGATGCTCTAGCATGAGTGTGAGGCACTGTCAAGCTGAGTCATTCTCGTTGTCTGTGTGCTCATCCAACCACAGCAAGCCCTTGCAAAGCTGAAATTCAAGAGGTTTTATCTGTCTACTCGAGTACATTAGAATATTAATGCCTCATTAAACACTTCTAAGATGTGGGGAAAATGACAAATAGCTTTATGGTGATGTGGCATGAGAAAATACAACTGCATTGCACTGAAGTTAATGAGCCGAACTCAAAGGTAACGTAAAGCAGAGCGGATTACAAAGGATTCTTGTCTTTTGATTTGAGCAGAAGTCATGATGCGACTTGTTAAAAAAAAAAAAAATCATACTGTGCCCCGGTAATTGTGCACAATGGTGTATTGTGGTCGGTCATATCCTTTGAGATATAATTTGTGCCTTGCATCTTTATCCACACATCATTATATAAATTACATTAAGCAACCACAGCTTGAGGGGTTAACAGTGCTAAAGAGAAGGTGTGGCTCCCTGCTCCTCTAGCTTTGCATGTTTCAACACATGAAACATTTACACCTAAGAGCCTGGTGGAGAAAATAATTACAGCCTAATTTTCTTGGAATCCGCATCAAAAGATCAAGAATTAATTGTCATGCTCCAAAAGAAACACGCACTCCAGATTTTTGCAGTGGGGTGCTGGAAATGTTTACAGCAGGAATTGTTCTATACATTAGTATTCATTCGGAATAGCTTCATATGAATAAACATCTTAATTGAACAAAACGGCAAGAGGTACATAATCATACGAAATTAAAGTTCTGCTTATTGTTAGTGAGAATTGAACACTTTTGGCACAATCATTTCATAAGTCCCATTCATATTTAATTAGCATCATGGGGAGCTAGTGTGCTATCCAGAAATTACTTGGGACTTCTGCGATACCAGATACTTTTCAATCCATATGAGATATGAGTAGTAAATCCACTGAATCCATTATAAAGAATATCAGAAACTAGAGGTAGACTGGAAAAACTGGCAGAATGATGTATAAAAAAATGAACCATCTTGGTCTTGCTCCCCTTCTGCACCTGAATTCTTCCACATACTATTACTAACCCCTTAAAATTTAAGCTGATATTGGCTGCCCGTTAACGTTGAATAAAGTTATACAGAACTGATATACAGTGTACTGAAAAAAGTAACTATAGTAACTCCATTCACAAAGTAACTCAATTACTTTGTTTATTATTTACACTTAAGAGTAACTCATAAGTTACTTATTTAAGAACATATTTATACATGTTTTACCTCTGGTAATGTCCTAATTGCATAAATTCACTTATGCGTGGGAAAAAAAAGCATTTATTGATGAACATTTTATTTCCACTAAGCAAATAAAAACCGACAAAAAAGAAAATTATATATGCTACTGCATTTAATTTAGAACAGCATAATCTGAAATTATATTTTGAATAAAACAATTGAAATAAACAATTGAAAAGCAACCTGAATGAGGGGATGACTCCAGTACCGACTCCACTATGTTACTCATAGAGTGGCACTGGAAACATTTTTATAACTTTATTTTGGGCTTTTTGGCTTTATTTGCATAGACAGGCCAGTTGAGCGAGACAGGAAAAGAAGGTGAAAGAAAGGAGGGAGGCCGGGAAATGATGGGATTAAAATCAGCATCTGCCAACGCAATCGCGCGCACATGGCCAGCGCATGGAATTTTTTTTCTTCTTTTAAATGGCCACAAACCAACATGAAAGTTTGTGTGCTTTTGCATATTTGTAAAATATCTTTTGGCAGAACAATATATAAAAAAAATTACAGGAAAAACTAAAACATGCATTTACAATAATGAAACACCTCAGATCTAGAATGCCTGCTGTTGGGGCACAAATCTTAATGTATAAACACACATTTATGATTTTAGTAGAAGTTTTAGAAGTAGTTTTTGTGTGTATTATGTAAACTGTTCACAATTTGATTTTTTGTATAATTATTATTGTTGTTGTTGTTGTTGTTGTTGCACAGAATAGTCATTATGTATTTATACATGTTTATTTTCAGAAACAAAGAGAAGACCATGGCTGATTTTCTTGCCCTAGGGGAGGAGGGGTGCCAATTTGTCAGCTAATCTGAAAAATGATCTCCAGTTAATGGAGCACTTGTCTTTTTCAACTGGTTTTAAGCATACAATAGTGAGAATCTGTTGCTAGCAATACTATCCACCAACAGGTTGAATAAAGAGAGCAGTGTCATAGTTTTCCATTGAACTTTTGATTCATTTACACATATTAAAAACAAAACAAAAAATACAGCTTGGTATAAAATTTCAAATTGTGCATGTTTTATCAACAACACAAATGCTTTTGTGGTATGGAATCAATATAGAAAATAATAAGAACCAAGAACATACATAAAGTGTTGTGTCTTAAGTAAATCAAGAATGCTTTTAAAAAGAGAGCCACCAAAAATAGAGTGTTAGCCTAAATTGTGTATATATCTCCATCTAGTGGCCACTAATTAACAAACATTTTACTCATAACTATTTATAGATCGACATAAATACAGGAATAAATAGCTCAGATTGAAAACTGTCATTTATAATAAATATACTAATCATACAAACTAGTAGCGAACGATCATCTGAAGGTGAAAATAATAAGCTCACCCCACTGCCATTAACATCATTCTGAAGAGGATTCTTTTAGGATGCCTGAAATACAACAGAGGTGCACTGGTTAATTATCCAAATGTTTTAATTCCAGAATAAAACAATATATTATCAAGAGAGTTTCGAACCTCATCTACTTCTCATTTGCCTCAGAGTGAGCAGCCTCTCTCTGATAGTCCTGTTTTCCTCCACCATTCTTTTGATCGTCCTCAAAACCTCCTGTTTTGCTCGGAACTGCCAAAACAATGGACAGTTCAAGTACAGCAAAAATAATAAACAAAATCCCTCCTCCCGCTACCCACCATTTTATCTTCTGTTCGAGTCTTTCTTCCTGAAAACCCGAAGCGAGCCGTTGCAGGCCCTGGAGAGTCACAGGTGCAAGGTATAAACAGCTCGCCGCCGAGAGTTTTCGACGAACTGGGGTTTTCACCTTACCTTCTGCCGCACGGTTGGCTCTGCGTGCTGATTTCTCGCAGTCAACCAGTTTAGGGCTTGCAGTTGTGGAGTAAAATCTCAAAATATGGTTTATTTTCACTTTTTTGGAAAAACCTGGCGTCAAGTCCGAACTCTGGGTGTCGAACAAAAGTGGAGTCGCTTCATGAAACACCTTGGTTTTGCTCAGTTTTTGATTACGTGATATTTTTTTGTTAACTGGCGTTCCCATTTGGGTCGACTGTGTGCTAAAATGTGGCGTGTAGAGTAGTTTGCGAAAAGTTGACATTATGCACAAACTTTAAAGGCAAGTGGTGTATGCTGCTTTCGTGAGGAGAAAACGCTGAAGTAACGTTACTTCCGTTAAAATTTGAAAATGGCGCCAGCGGGCCTACACGGTAACAGGTCCTTAAAGGTACATAGCGTAATAATGACTTAAGAATAGCTGCGACATTGAATTTTTCATCATTCACCTAACTATTCATCCATTTCTGTAACTTTTTGCACTTTTTCCAATTTATTAAAGAAAAAAGCTTGTGCTGTAACATCTTGTTTATTGGGTGCATTAAGAGTAATTTGGTTAAAAGGGACATTGTAACCAAATTGAAATATTTTTGACTAACTAGTTGCTTGTGAGACATAAAAGTGGCGTGTTCCCATGTGAGTGACCATATGACTGAGTCCACTTCGAACAGTAAAAGATTGACATGAGGCGAAGCATCAGTACACAATCCGGACAGCCCACACAATCAATGTGCTATGTCAAGGTGCCACATGATTTGTTGGCCATACTGTGGTCAGATGAAGATTCAGGGTTATTTCTGCATCCACCAACACTCCAGTCAATATTGTCTGTATACCGACCCTTAATTTGACAAAACAGTATATCCTACAAAATGATCGAATGCCTTGATTACGTGGTGCATTTAAAATGCATGCAAGTTGCAGACTGTGCACTGACACACTGACAGAAAGTTCTCTCTATGAAGTAAACAAATTGACATAACTAAAATGTATTTTATTGTTTGTGCTTTACAAGCTATAATGAACATTTCTGGTGGTTCTATCTCAGCAGCAGTAAATTTTCAGAATCAGAACTTTTGCATTTCTTGTTGCCAGGTGATGGAACACTTCCAAACTCTCTCAACTTAAAACTTTGGGTGGCAAGTGGTGAAATTGGTCGTCCTATAACCGGAAGGCTGGCAGTTTGATCCCGCCAGGTCCATTCTGCCATGTGGGCAAGCAACTTCCCCCACATTGCCTTGTATGGATGTATTTGACTGGTTATGTTTGGTTGGCTAATTTGCAGCCATGTTCTGTCTGTCTGCACCAGTGTCTGAATTATTACCATTTATATATAAAAAAAAAAATAGCTACTAAACTATTCTATTTCAAGAGCACTTGCATCTTGAATAAAAAAAAATCCTTTCTTCAAAGGCAGATAATTGATACGGAAAATAGCTGAAAAACCTCTTTCCTGAGCTCTCTTTATGATTGGCCTGCCCTTTCTTTGCACAGGAGGCTTTGAGTTAGAGTCAAGCGATCTTAGGCGTCTAGTTAGGCTGTAGGGGTAAGTCAACTATGGTTAAGGATAGCCTTTGGGATGGTTAAGTTGGTTGGGGTAGGGCTAGAATGTTGGTTAGAATTAAGTAATCAATGGTAAAAATTAGGCTTTGGGTTAAGTCATCTATGGTTAGAGTTTTAGGTTATCGTTTGTTGGTCTTTGGGTTACGTTTGCACAGCGTGTTCAAGTGACAGACGTCACTGCAGTCTGCAGCAAAGACAGTCTCCAGTGGCTCTGATGTCTGTTTCCATTGGCTCAGTTAGTAGAGCATTGCTCTTATAAAACAAACGTGAGTTCAAACCCCAAGGAACTGGCCAAATGTGTCCATTCCATGGAGTTTCAAGTCACTTTGGATAAAAGTCTGCCATATGCATAATGTAAACATAATACACTGGTTGACTTCACTTATACCATAAGATGGTACGGTTAATTTTTTTCTTTTAAAATTAATTTGTTTTAAGAACAAAAGTGATGTCGTGCAAACCCAGTGCTGGACTGTAAATTTATCGAACAGAGTTGAGGCTGTTTGTGATCCTCATCCCTCTACATGTGTAATCATAACACAGTGTTTTAGGTAGCATGGGCTGTGGACAAGCTAAAAATAGCGTTGACCCCATTCTAAATGTGCCAGAAGCCAACAGCTTTTCCTACAGCGCTGCAAGGATAAAACACTTTGACTCTGTGCAGGTGATCACAATTTACTCACATCTCCAGAACACAAGACCCGGGCAGCTGTTCTTGCAATCAAGTTTATTCATTCAACATCTCACATTACAAATACTTTAAGCATTCTGTTATAAATATTTAACTGCAAATAATCAAGACTTAACTACCAAAGCACATGTGTGACTAACCCAACTTCAAAATTATTTTTTTTCTTTACATAAATCGATGTAGCTTTAACCTTTTTTTAAATATAAAATTAAAACTTGTAAGTGACATAGCAAAAAAATGATTCCTTTTTATAAAAATCTATCGATAAATACACCTTCCCATACACAGTTATAAACTATATAAATTTAAATAAACAGTTACATATATAGACTTTTCTGATGTTTTCTTATCCTTCTGTAGACATGAAGCACAATACTGTGATTATTAAAACTAGAAAAATCTAAGTATACTGATCAAAAACCGACATCTGTTACAATCCAATTAAAAATATAGAAGTAAATCATTACTCAAACCACCATTCACTTAATATTTACATAGTTATCACAGTAGCAAGAACTCAAGTAGGAAAATATGAATATAAATAAAGTAAAAACACCTACAGAATAATTAAGTAGCAGTATTTTTCCATATAAACCGAAGAATGATAAATGTTTTAATGGCTGAGGGAACGCTTGTGAGGTGCAAGAGTTTACAGTAATGAATGTGCACGAACATGATTATATTAAAAGAGGATCTCTGGGTAGAACTATTGCACAGATCTCAGAGCAGACATTGTGAATGTGCATTAAAGTAAACCCTGAATCAATAAGTGACGATCAGCCTCCTGTAGGTTTCGGATTAAAAACCCAGTTTTCCCCATACAATGGAAAAAGGCTGAAAATAAAAGCAAAATTAATTTGAAAACATTATTTACCTCATGCATACCTAATGAATTGATTTAACTTTGTAGCTGCTGATTTATACACAACAGCAAACCTTACTATTTTATATGGAACATTCAGGGTTGAGATACAAGGTGCGTCTTACTCTAATTTACATTGTTTAATTATTTTCTAAACCCAATAATGGAGTAGGTCTTCATTCTCATAGTGGGTAGGTACCATACATTACTACACGTACCACACATTTTAAGAAATTTGTGTCATGCTGTTTTTTTTACTGTCCATTAACACATAAATGAACACGTCTGCATTTTGCAAATGTTATATATTAATTTCAGCGATACAATCATTTAAATATATGCAACAACCTAGGAATTTCAGCAGGAAAATACATAAAAACCTAAACAAAATTAGCCTTTTTTAATATATATATATATGTATATATATAAGGTATGTTTGCATGATGTAGCATCACAACCAGTTGTCTTAGTAACAAAAGATACAAAATCTATTTTCCAAAAAGTGAAAATAAAAAGATATCACAAAAGGACCATCCGTTTGTGGAAAAAAGTGACGTGAAAAACAATATTTAGAAAAGTAGTGCATAATGGTTTTACGTCCATGACAAAATAATTAGCTATAAAACACAGTACAAAAATCAGCAGACCATGTAAAAAATAATATTTGTTTCTCAAATTCTTTGAAATGTGCTCAGCTACTACAATGCTCGGTTAGTACACCATGGCAAAAACCATGCAGAAAACACCATCAATGCAACACAAGGTAGTTTCTCTTTAGCAAACACAACAGCGCTGAGTTCTCGCACAAAATCCCTGTGAAATGAGCCACTGCCGGAACACCATAAATAATTCGTATTAATTTACTCGTTTAAATACAAACCCATCCGGTTGTTGACAGTAAGATCTCTCCAAGGCTCATCTTTGGTGCATCAAGCATAACAAATACAGTCACCACTTCTTTTATCGCATCGGTTTTGTTCCAAGTCGTTAAACATGATTTAAGTTAGTGACTAGTCCGCGGTTAACAGTAAACAATGCAGGATGCGCCAAAAGCGGTGAGCTTGCGGCTGAAAACTTTTCATTCCTGCGTGTTCGTATAAATATTCCTGAACAGAGCTGTGATCATTAATATTTTGTGGATTCATTAACTGTGAGTACACTTTCAATGCAACCATTAACGATTAGTAACTGCAATAGTACACTTCATACTAGTTATCCCAAAACCCCTACATTTCGAGCCTCGTTGTTTATCCTTCAACAAATTCAAGTGAAATGTGACCCATTACGAACAGAAGATGAGGCTCCAAGAGAACAAAGGTTGAACAGTAATTCAAGTCAGGCTAAACAACTATATATTTGTCTTTTAAATCTAAAGCATTCAAGTCTTCATGCGCACCAATGTAGCTTCTCAACAAAGAAAAAAAAAAAGGATTACATAATTTTTTTTAGCATTCTCTGCTCCCAAACAAAACTTAAAAACTTAAGAATAAATACAATTTTAGACTTAAAAAGAACTCTAAATAAAATGGACTTAGCGAAACGAAAAGTGCACATTAGCGCAGACCTCACGGATCAATTCCAGCGGAAGGAGATGTGGCGAGGCCGGTCTCCACCCTCCTTCACTAGAGGCTTATGAAACTCACGTCCCGCACGCGAGTGAATGGCTGCCCAGCAGTATTCACAGTAGTACTGGAGACATGTGACATTAGCACAGAAGAACGGCGCAAACTTGCCGCCGCAACGTGTGCCCTGACACTCATCACACAGCTGGTCGTCCAGAACATATGGCTTTACTTCCACCTGAAAAAAAAAAAAAAAAACTATTAGCTCTTCAGAAATAAAGGCATACCTGCTCAGACCATTATTAGCAGGACAAATACACAAAAAAGAAACTAGACAAACATTGAATTGTTTAGGCTGCAAAGAGGGTCAATAATGCATTTTCTATGTGCAGAAAAACCCAATTATCATTCACACATTTGATTGTGATAATCTATCCACTGGAAAGGTGTGGTGCGCTAGAGTACAGAAGGAATTTTGATAAGTGGAGACCGTTGGTAAGATTCTCAAAAATGTCCAGGCATGATGGAATATAGCCTCCCAGAAAAGGTAAACAGCTTAGTTATTTTATTAACAACCACTGTTCCTTATCCACCCCACAAAAGAAAAAATAAGGACAAAAACTACAAAAAAAAAAAAAAAAACTGGCTAACGGTCGTACATTGCACAGCGTTTCCCCTACCGCAAAATAGAACATTTGCTTAAGTTTCACGGCAATGACACTCAGAAGCACCATCAGAGAGTCCCTACCCTTCGAGCTATAGTGGAGTACAGATTGCATGATTTTAGCCCCGATTCTGAACAATCACAGACAACTGCATGGAATCGCAGGCATATCGGAACTCGTGCACAGGAATGACAATGGCCTCTTCACTATAGCGCTCAGTAAGTTCTGGTTTCGCAATGACTACGTTCTACAGCTGCTGTCACCAGGACCTCTCCAACATTAACTTGTGCACAAAACAGCTAAAGAACCATCCAGCAAGCTGGAAAAGGGATTTAAATTATATGCATCCTCGTATAAACACGGTTCAATCCGAATTCATGTGGCGCTCATGCAGCTACCTTTTATGCTCTTCCTCTTCATTACAGTTTTTTTTATTTTAGCACATGCCAGGTCTAATGATTAAGGTTTGAGAATGCCACAGTAATTACTATCAGACGTACATCGGCTCGTCATCAACACGCCCTTATCTCCGCTCCCACACACGTGGCTGCACCGGCACACTATAGCACCGATACGAAACCATAGTTGCCAGAAAACAATGAAGTGTTTTCAATTAAAAAAAAAAAAAAAAAAAAAACATCTTCAACAGTCGATTTGCTACTCTGAAAATCGTGCAGTCTAAATCTTTAGATAGATAAACATAAAATGTACGGTTTGTTCTAGTGTCAAACCAAGATTGTTCTAAAAAAAAAATAAACAACTTATTTTATGCAGTAATCTTACCGGAAATGTTAGGGGGGGGGGGGTGTAACTGCATTTTTCTTTTGTTACAAAGATTAAATAGAAATCGCATTTATACACAAAAGTGTTTCCCCTACCTTTAAATTGAGGGGTGAAGACGGGCTTGCCAGCATTCCCTTAATTTATGTAAAGATGCTGTATTTTCTTTTAGTTTTGCTATTGTTTATTTGTAGTACTTTCTACTATTTATACATGGTATACAATACATTTGTCTTATTGCTATCCTTATTTACCCAGTAAGGCTGTTGGTAAGAATGCAATTTACCAAATTCTATTCAAACAAGTGTATTATTAATATTCTACATTGCCCCAAAATACCCTCCCTTTAAAACAGGTATGCACCTTTCCATTGTATTATACAAATTATGGGTTTACATTGTCTGAATATGGCCATTCATTTACAGGTTTCCTCTGCTCTCTGTAACCATGTGGATTTCCCAAATGCCAATCAATGGCTTGCAGGAAGAGCTGATCTCTTGATGGACAAATCCTGGATTTCAGACGACGAACTAAGTGAGACTTTTGCAGAGGTCCCCGTTGTGAATCGAGCAGCCCATAGTGACTGTATGTGCTGAACAAAGAACACAGGTGCTTGTTGTTGCCATAGAAACGGTGACAAGATGCTAAGGCCCATGGTTGTGCTATTCACCAACTGTCATCACCTCATGTTACAGCATGACTACATATAACCTCATGTTCATCCTTGAA